ACGAGAGAGCTTGCGTGTTAGCTCAGACGTTGAAAGCAAAGGCTTTGCTTAAAAGAATGTATAGTGATGAGAGGGAGGACAGATTAATGCGCTATCGATCGCCAGTCATCATCATGTAGCAGGAGAATCCATACACTGAAAGACGAAGACTAATTCAGAAAGAAAAGAGGGGCAAAGGGATTTGGGGAGGGGGAGGGGCGGAAATGAGTAGAAGTTCCGAAAGATATTCCAATCAGAAAGATATATTAATCACGTTGCAACTGATACTATTAGCATGTCAACTCTCTGTTAGCTACTGAAGAAGGAGACGGAGCACGTGTGTCAATGTCTCGAGTACAATGTCAATCCATGATTAACGGATTGTCTGATTCAACGAATAGCTGATGAATTGAAGACAGATTGATTCATTCATTGATGTGGCAGGTGCTTTGTAGAATGTGGATGTCATCACTGCCTGCAAGTAAGGTACAGGTTCATTGTTCATCACAGCAGCACCGTTCGTTACACATCGGGGATATCAGGAAATGCTCCCATCCTCTTAGTGTTTTATATTTTCCCTGGCGGCTCACTGGCCTGTTTTGGTTTATGTAGTGACTTTGGGCCTCAATGGTCTTTTCCAAAAGTCTTCCCTCAAACTTAAACTAATATTTCGAAAACTCCTGTACGGATCAACCTAAATTTTTGCGTAGTCTTTCATTACCCGTGTCCTTGTGATTTCATAATTTACAGTTGTACAAGTACTGCTTTTTTCTTACAGCTGTGAATTTTTGTTTTGCATCTTTCTGGACTAAAATTGGTGTGCTTCTTTATATGGTATCATACAAATCGTTTTCTTTGTATGAGCCAATCAACAACCATTACTGCAGTATATGACATATCCATTTCCCTATTTAAAATAACCGTGCTTAATTTTTTCGCACGGATTACCTCCAAAACGCGGGCAAATTGATGTTTGCCATGTTCACATTAGGCTATTTACTGCAGACATGAAGTGATGGCATTAAGAACAGCCTTACAGAAATGAACATCAGTCTTAATAGTGCTCTTGACAGAGCTCATCAACGAACATTACATTTCCCCCGACACTTCGATGAGGTACAAAGTGGAAGAGAAGAAGAAGAAAAAAAATGCAGACATCTTCTTCTTCTTCGCGCTCACAGCCGTAAACTCTGGCGGAAAGTTCTGATTGTTCATCCACTTCTGGACTGCAGTCGTGTTTCAGAACCTGAGTGTTGCGTTTGCATCCATTATACAGATCTGACTCCTTTGTTTGCAGACTGCTCGTACCTTGCCTCAGGCAGATGCAATCGGACTTCGAAGGAAGTTCCCCATTAGTCGACTCTTACGACATGCTTTTGGGATGGCAGTGAGTTTATTCTTATTTTCCCCACAACAGGGCCCCTGAACCCACACGGGGAACTGTAGGCATATTAGTTGTATGTTTTAAACCGGTGTCTCTCCCCCCCTCCCTCCTTTATATACCACAAATAAGGGGAATGAGAACTAGATGTTTGTTTACCTTATAATTATTTTTCTTGAAGGACAAGTCGTTATGAACAGGTTGCTTGCCAACTTTCAACAATTTACACCATACGGCTACTTCGATACAACAAACTTTTAATGTTGGCCACGACTTTTGGAACTGACTATAGCATGGTTTGCGCGTGGCGTTGTTGCGACTTTGAATCGGAGTCAGGAAAGTGACTTCCACCCTTGCCAATTCTGCTTTACACATTTTCATGCGCCAGCTTCCTTAAGAGTCAAGTGCCTACCTTTGCGGTGTTCAAACTCCTTCAATGAATGAATCACGGCTTCCAACACTGTTTTCCATAAACAACTGCGACGTTTAATGTGACATCGCAGATTCTGAGTCACGGTAATGTTTACATAAACATTTCCTTTAAAGTTTATATCTCTCTCTCTCTCTCTCTCTCTCTCTATATATATATATATATATATATATATATATATAATATATATATATATATATATATATGTATGTATATATATATAAGGTTAGTTGCGTATCCTTTACATAACGTTGCATAACCAACCCCGTTGGTTTTTCTAGGCAAATTACGTCCAGTAGTCTGTCATTGCTCTCTGGACGGTCGGCTTTCTTGATACCACTGTCGAAACCAACGCAAGGCGCATGGTCCGCAGTTGGGATCGAACCCGGCATCCCGGCATTACGAAGCGTTCGCATTGACTTATATATATATATATATATATATATATATATATATATATATATATATATATATATATATATATATATATATATATATATATATATATGTGTGTGTGTGTGTGTGTGTGTGCTATCCTCCGATTAACGGCCACATATTATGGCGACCACAAAAACACTCTAACACTCTAACAGGGCCTTAGTCACATGTAAATTGCGCACTTCCGGCGACTTAAATTGCGCACTTTCGGCGACTACCGACACCGCCGAAAGTATCTCCCACGCCGCTTCGCGCGGCGTGAATTTGGATAA